GGATGAATAATGGATGGATGGATGAATGATGGATGAATAATGGATGGATGGATGAATAATGGATGGATGGATGAACACACAAGTGAATGTAAATAAAAAGTTAACCCTCTCACTTCCTCTACGTTGATGTTTTCTTTGGCGCTCGTCTCAAACACTGGAACTCCCACAGAGTCCCCGAAACGAACTGCATCCTGGGTCTCCACCTTCTTCCTGCTGGGATCATCGTTCTTGTTTCCCACTGAGAACAAGAACAAACACATCCTGAACCTGGGTCTGTGGGGTCAGAACCCACACATCCTGAACCTGGGTCTGTGGGGTCAGAACCCACAGATCCTGAACCTGGGTCTGTGGGGTCAGAACCTAGGGTCTGAGAAGTGTGACCCACCCAGGATCTTGCAGACGCTGTCACAGTTCTCAGAGATCTCGTTCAACCATCTCTTGACGTTGACGAAGGACTCAGGGTTGGTCACATCGTAAACAATGATGACTCCATGTGTGTTCCTGTAGTACCTGTCGCACACACACACACACACACACACACACACACACACANATCAGGGGGTATCAGGGAGTATTGGAGGGTATCAGGGAGTATCAGAGGGTATCAGGGGTATCAGGGAGTATCAGAGGGTATCAGGGGTATCAGGGAGTATCAGAGGGTATCAGGGAGTATCAGGGGGTATCAGGGAGTATCAGAGGGTATCAGGGAGTATCAGGGAGTATCAGGGGGTATCAGGGGGTATCAGGGGTACACAAGTCTAAAAAGGTTGGGAACCTCTGCACTACAAGACCAACTGCAGGTCCAGAGCCAGGATTTCAAGGAGGTGGGGTTCTTTTAGGAAACTGGACCTCTGGAGCTGGGGGCATGGAGGCTGCTCAGGGGCAACACCCTGGTKGGGGTGCAGGGCAGGGGGCTTGCATTGAAATAGTTTTAAAATGTTAAAAATTATAATTGTGATGGTCTGCTGACAACTTCTCAATGTTTGACTCCAAACAAAATTAATTTATAAATTAAACCCAGAAACTTTACTGTGGTCAAATATTAATGGATGGATGGATGAATAAAGGATGGATGGATGGATGAATAATGGATGGATGGATGGATGGATGGATGAATAATGGATGGATGGATGAATAATGGATGGATGGATGAATAATGGATGGATGGATGAATAAATGGATGGATGGATGAATAATGGATGGATGAATAATGGATGGATGAATAAATGGATGAATAAATGGATGGATGGATGAATAATGGATGGATGGATGAATAATGGATGAATAATGGATGGATGGATGAATAATGGATGGATGGATGAATAATGGATGGATGGATGAATAATGGATGGATG